GATTGTGGGATAACCCGTGACCTGGCCATCACTGACACGCAGATCACAGTTCCGGCTGCTAAGGCTAGAGAGAGGGGAGAAGTGACAGAGGAGGGTGTTCCTCCTGATGTCGCCGGGAAACCCTTGGTCTTGAGGCCATCGGCAGCGGACTCGCAAGTATGGTCCCTTCGGGTGCTAGTTTCGGATGGAAATACAGCTGGTCCATGGGTAGCAGTGTATGTTGACGATGTGTTTATCATGGGTCCGGTGCTTCTTGCGACTGCCATAGTAGACAAGTTTAAGGAGACTTGGGAAGTTGGCTCAGTGCAACGCATCCCACGAATCCAGGATGGTTTTGCGTCGTTCTTCGGCATTGAATTTGCCTGGAAGGGTGATCAACTTGTGCTAGGGCAACAGGGTTACGTAAGAATTTGCAAAAGAGGTACCCACACGTTAGGATGCGCCGCCGTCTCCTGGGTCCCTTGAGATCCACGAGGTCCCCCTAGAACAACGAGACCCTCCGGCCCTCCGTGCTGGTCAAGCCTCCCTAGGAGAAGCCTTGTGGTTGGCCATGCATACTCGCCCTGACGTCATGTCTAACGTAAGTAAACTTGCGTCGGAAATTGCCCGAAATCCAGTTAGCTGTGCTTCCCTACATTGAACACCTCCTTCGTTACCTCTTTAACACGGCGAACATGGTTTTGAGCTACGGCCCCGATGTACCACTCTCTGGCGAATTTGGAAGCATGTTGTCTACTTCTGCGGCTTGCGTACTAGAAGCACAGACAGATGCAGGGTTTGCGCCCAACTTTGGTAGGAGTTAAGAATGTGCTATCGTGTATCAAAAAGGAGCTCTCATCACATGGATTTCCAGTAAACAACCATTCACAGCTCAGAGCACAGCTGAAGCAAAGTTGCTGTCGACTATGATTGGGTTTTCGTTAGGTAGGGCTCATCAGTCTCTTGCTCTTCGGAGTTGTGCAATGCCCCTAATAGCCTTGCGGTCTTCAATGATAACAAAGCCCCAATACAGATCATAACTGTTGATTGCGCATCGTGGAGGACCAGACATTTACGTATCCGGGCCTGCGGGCTAAAGGACCAGCATCTGTTGGGTCAAGTACTTGTTGGGTTTGTGTGTGGAAGTAGGAAAGGGGCTGATGTTGGAACTAAGCCTGTGCCTTTCTGCCGCGTGAAGGAGCGGCTTGGCATTTTAGAGTTGGCAGTACTTGAACAAGATGCTCCGGCCTCCGGGCCCCAAGCTGGCAAAGTAACATGGCTGTTAATCCTAGGATGTTGGTTTCTGTGGTGTTGTTGCTGTGTGCCACCTAAGCACAAAGCGCCTCTCCGGGGGTCGTTCCTGAAGGTAGCCGTGATTTTACTATCTTTGTAGCCATGGTGGCCATTTGTAGCATTGCTATTTGGGAAGCATTGAAGTGGTTGATAGGAAAGGGATGCACCCCATTGCTCAACGCTATAAAGGCCCGGGGTGAAATTGCTGAACCTGACAGCGAGGCGGATGTGCTTAACGAGGTGCAACCGGATCACGAGGATGACCTTGAAGAACTTCCTCCTCTTGAAACTCCCCGACCTCCCGCAGACCCTCCTAATCAGGAGCCCGTTCGATGTATGTTGATGATGAGGTTCCGGGCTTCGAGGTTGGGGTTGGGGATGACTTTCATGGTGCCCGTGACCGAGAATTGGAACCTATGATGCAGGCAGGTGCTCTCGGGGAAGAGCCGAGAAATCGGAATAGGGGTCAGCGTGTGTATGTTGAGGAGCCGGATTTTGAGGCACCGCCTGTACCGCCACCACCCAGGGTTGACAATCAGGCTCCAGGCCCAATTCCAGTTAGAGATTACGAAGAAGTTCGCCGTGAAGCCAGCGAACACAATCAGCATGCTCAGGCTGAATATCCCCAACCTCCTTTGCGATCACATCCTACGTGGCCAGTCCCTTATCGAATTCCTCTACGTGCGTTAGGAGGAATGCTAGCCCTTGGGGCGGACCTCTGAGTGTTCTGTTTCAGTTACCACCTCCGGGTACACGGGACTTCTTTATGTACTAGCCCCACAGGCATCCGTTAGTGGTAATTCGTTGGCACGGGCGGGCTCGGATCCAGCTATTTAATACAACGGGGCGGCGGCGCAGACTCATCGTGTACAGCACCGGAGAACAAGCCATCCGTGATGATCGTGTCTCAAGGGGCCCAAGAGCGCATCTAGACCGCGCCTGGAGCGGGCGAACGGAGCTGGAGTTGCGTATTCAGCCACAACGACCTCCTCACCAACTGCGGGCTACGTGACGCCAATGTGGTTGAGTCTTTCCGGAGACTCCCGAAGCTCGGGAGGGGGAGAGCGTGTCGTGAGGACACGGAAAGCTGGAACGATCGACATCTTCAGCCGTGGAGGCTCAGGTGTCGCAAGGGTCCAGGCAAGTTTCTCCAACTTTTAAAGTCGTTACGTGAGTCTCCGCTGTGAGCCGAATGCACCAGTCAGAGCGACATTTCAATCTCCATTTTTCGAGAATTGTACCAAGTTGTACAACCTTTTTCAGTGCTGACCATAGGCAGGAGAATCGTATGGAACCTAGACTTTAATGCTTGTCTTTCCGCTGGTGATAAAAGCGAGCTTCTCATGATGTTGGCCACAAATTTATTTGGAGGTTCTTGGGATATAGTGCCAGCTGACGATAGAGGCTAAGCAGAGCCAAGGGCCCAAGTATAAACGGCACGAAGGTCCAAGAGCAACGACAGTTACAAGCATCGCGATTTCGGGAGGTCCCTTCCCTGTGACTGTTAGCACTTTCCAGATGCCAAGACCACGCGAAGGCCCAAAAATGATGACAGTTACAAGGATCGCGGCGTTCAGGCGCCCCACCCCTATGACTGTTGGAACTTTTGAGAAGCGAGGAAAGCACGAGGCACTAAAATTGACGACAATTACAAGGATGGAGTCCGAGGGCCTGTGACTGGTGGCACTTCTGAGAGGTTTGGGCTCGGGACGGGGGGACCACACCATCGGCAGGCGGGGGGCGTAGAATCCCCTGGACCGGGATCATATGTATATGTACATATCTCCATATGTCTTATATATGTCTGCCAGTAATAATACGAACGAATACATTTTCAGTAGTAACAGTATTTAACTCGCATGACCGCAAACTTGCCAGGCCTGGCGCTCGTGGCTCTTGTTGTTGCTGCCCACTTCCAGGTCCAGACCGGGAGGCATTATGCGACATGTATGTCAATGAGACATCCTGTGGACATGCGCTATGTGACGTATTCTTTTCTTAAGCGGGACTCGCAGTTATTGACGTCTGCTAGGTCCTGCACAAAAAATCCTGCAGGTCTTGCGTTCCTTTCCCGATTGGTTTACTGAAGCAATATGTACGCCTGGAACTGAAACTCAACAGCACATTGGTTGGAATTGGCTGCGTGCAACAACATAGTGGACAACAGTGGTGCCTGAATTGCAAATGCATTCGCAATGGAAAACCTGGAACCAAGTTAAACACCACCTGTGATCAGCGTCGTCAGCAGGATTTGGGGATGCCGGCTTCGTTTTAGGTTCGCGTCCATGGGTTCAGACACCGGATTAGGGTTTGATGCAGACGTCTGAATAATCAGTAGTCGTAATGTCCTCGTTTAGTCCCCATAACTGTACTAAACCATACCCCAAACCCTAGTCTGATGATAAAGGCCTCTAGGTTAGGATCCTCATCTCCGAAACCTGAACCGCCTTTTCTTGCGGCGATCGCCGAAGAAGTGTCCTGAACCACGGCCCTTGAAACACTGCAGGCCAGGATGTGAATTGTGAGACAGTATATAACTCTCTTTATCACATGTACATACAATATGAATGATATAGGTCAAAAACACACTATACCATATAAGATAAGGTGCTATAATTCTTCTTCTGCACGCTACTAGAGGTCTCGAGCTGAGCATTGCCCAGCTCAATGACTCCAGCGGAAAACAAAAACAAAGTTATCGTTGTGCCCTGGGGTCTCTTGGACTGTGGCAGAAACCCTTGCCAGTGCTCAGGGTTGTTATCTTTGTTCTAGCATAGGCTCGCCTACTTTACAGAAGCAAGATCTTCGATGAGACATTCGATGAACGCCTTCAACTTAGGACTGAAATTTAAGTACTCCCGAAATAAGTCTGCCGATGCCTCGCCCCATTCACCAAGCGGTTCAGTTCCAAAACTGTCAATATCAGGCTCAATGTGGGGATCCACCAAAATATAAAGATTCTCTGCACGTCTCGAGTAAGCAATTCACCCTTGGTTTGCTTAATCTTCGCGTGGATTCGATTCGTGGTGCATGCGTTCCTTGCTGACAAAGGACTTGCCTCATGTGGCCTGTCGCTGGACTCATACTACACTACACTACACTATACTATACTATACTATACTACACTGAACTAGATGTATTAACATGCGCTATATGCATTGTCATGCAATGCAATATATAACAACATATTCCGACTGCATTATAGAATACAACAATCTAAAGCAACATAGCATGACATAGCACAACATAACATGCGATGAAACACAATAATATAACATAACATCATCCAAAATACCAAAAACTGAAAATAATACGACATACTCGAATAACATAACAAAACATAGCATAACATAACATGACATAACATAGCATAACATAACTTACTATGCTTCACTATACTAGACTCTACTCTACTATTCTGTTTTCATCACATAGAAGCAGCACGTGAAGCGTGCAGCCCTCAAACCTGATGGGGAAGTAACGCTGGGCAAAGGCTGAGCTTCAATGCCAAATTGTGACTTGCGGAACTCGAAGGCCAGGGTATTGGACATCTGATAGCAACTCCAGGAATCAGTGACAGACTCACCTCAGGTGCGTGCCAAAGAAGAACCATGTGGGGTTGGTTGTTTTTGCGGCAGGGTGATTTCTCAAGAATCAAATCCTTGGCGGCCTTCCCCAGAACGAACACTAGATTGATCTGAGACGCTATTTGATTATGACAGTGGCTTTCAGCACTCTTCAAGCTCGCGCTCTTCAAGCTCGCTGATGCCCGACATGGCAACCGAGGGCGCCGTTCGATTCGGTTCCACGAGGTTGCTCAAATGAAGCCACAACTGCGGCTTCTTTTGGATTTGGTTAAGGTTTAGGGGTTTCGGGTTCAGGGCTTATTAAGGATCAGGCGATGAGGGCCGCGGTTTGAGGGTTGGGACCCAGACGGCTTGTATGGCTCGCTTAAACCGGAATACCGGGTGTAGGGCGATTTGCAGAGCGATGACAATCATGACCGTAACTACGTCGATTGTACTCAAGAGGGTGGACTAGCCAAAGAGATACACTCTAGTCTGTGATCTCAAGGGCTGCTGTACTCGTTAGGCTAACACCAGGAGGCAAACTAAGCTGTAAGGTTAGGATCCATACGGATATCGGGCATTTCAGACAATATGGAACCCTAAATAAAGAAATGGATGCATACTCGTCTTGTCTGAAAGCCCAATATTCTTGTCCAGCAAGCCCAACCTTGGGCGAGGGTCGGCTGCTTCGCGACCTTGCCAAACCGTTGACTGAAATCGTGGCCTTGCGTGCCAAAATGTACCTCGATCAACGATTAAGGGTTCGCCATGTACGGTCTAAGGTCCAAGAGTTCAAAGCGTCAAGTTGGCTTGGGGATCTAAGCGCTCAATGTTCCAAGCTTGGGTTTTAGAGGTTTGGGTCCGAACCTGATGGGGTTGGGGGTTCCGATTGCAAAGGCTGCAGTTAGCTATCACCCGAAGATCGAGGGCATCTCCGAAATGGTTGGCAAATTGAAGAGGGTGCATACTTTGGATGGGAGTCGGGTCCGGGTACTCTGCAGACCCAGTGAACCTACTACCTGTAGTTGAACCGGCGACCCCATTGGAGCTGCCTTGCATTTTAACATTGGCGATGCCGTGATTCAATAGATAACGTGATAGTAAACTCTTGCGATTGATGCAATCTGTTCAACGGCACCTGGGTTCAGGGTTGAAGGTTGAGCTTTCTTTTCAAAATCGAAGGGCGAGTGGAATGAGGTCTCGACCGAAAAAAAGACCCTGAAGCCCTACAAAAGGTCTGGGCGATTCAAGACTCCAGGTGCATCTGCGGGTCATCGAGCGATCGGAACCTTGGCTTGGTGCTTACGAAGGCCCAGGGTCAGACGATCAAAGGTAGCAACGTATTTTGCTTGGAGTTGGGTGGTGTTGGGCTTTTGGTTTACAGTGTACACCAATGTTGCCAGATTCAGGTCGCTTGCTGAATAAACCCGTAATCCTCACCTCAAACCCTGAATGAAACAAGGAACCCCAAGCCCTGCCACCCCAAACCCAGACCCCAAATCCCGCTACGTCCTTCCCTAGACCTGTCTTCCAGTCTTAAAGCCGTCATGGCTGAGACCAATGGATCTCCTATTCTCAAACCTTAACTCCTAACTTGCTCTCATTACCACCTGTATGAATTCAAATCCGAATACAGACCCCTAATGGTGCCCCCTTATTCAGGATTGTTCGTTCGGAGCGCAAGGCCCAGGAGCCCAAACCCTAAATCCAAAAACACAACCTGAGCCCTGAATTTCAATTCCTAATCTTATGTCGCTAAACCCTTCATCCCCAAGCCTGAAACACTAAAACCCTAGCTAAGATTATCTGATGACCCTAAACCCTAGTCATCCCAAAACCCTAGAACCCTATAGACCCCAAAGACCCCTCAAAGGGGACTACCGGGTCCTAGGAGCCACACGCCCTTACGGAAGATCAATGGCTCGACAGCCGAAGGGTTCTCCGCAGCGCTGGCCGCGTAGTGCTTGACCTACTGGGGTGCAGTGTTGAGGGGCTTGGGTGGGTTTAGGATTTAGGAACCTTGGGGTTTTAGCCTTAGTACAATTTAGGGGTTTAGGGGCTCAGGGTCTGGGGTCTACCTTAAACTACGAGAACCTACTTTTGCGTAGCAAACTATATGTATAGGGACCTACAAGAAATCCCGCAGATGTTGGATGCTGACGCCCAAAGCCCGCAGACACTCAGCTCAACCCTACCGGGAACCCAATTCCATGGGCCCCATCGACCTAAACAAGTCATTCTCTCAATCCTGAATGCCTTGAAGCCTTAATCCCCACATCCTGGAATCCCTGAACCCTGAATTGGCCGCCTACCTTGACCTACCAAAACCTGTTAGAGGGTCTAGGGTTTAGGGAGGGTTTGCGATTCTTCGCTTGGCCCAAGCGCAGTCGATTCCCGAACTCTGAATCCTGGAAGCGCCTCGGCTCCAGACGCCAAGAAGCTTCGAGTCTCAAACTTTCCCAAACCGAAAAACCTTCTTTCCGGCCAGATGAGCTATAGTCTAAACTCCGCGAGGTACTATAAGACAATGATCCTGAGTCTGTTAAACCAATAGTCCTGCCTTGGATCGTACGGAATTCCAGCTGGTGGGCCGTATGAAATTCCTCAAACTGGGCATGCCGGGATCATCGGTGCAAGCCGGCAGGTAGTTAAGATGGACCTGAGATTGGGATGCTTGGGATGCTTGGAGCGCTAGTGTTTGCGGTGCTTCGCGTGCAGATGCCCAGTAAAACGTGCACAAGTTGTTCATATATCTGGTCACCTTCCTACCACCTACCTACCCTACGTTTAAGTGGATGAATAAGTTTATGTGAACATGCAGGAAATAATACAGGGGTCGAGTCAATTACTGTCATGATTCCAAGGCTTCCTTCATTTACTGTTCACATAATTACCCAGAAGCCCTATTGTGATCTTTCAGGCCTCTACCTTATTGATGCCAATTCGCATAACACCCGGGGCCTCGCCACCCAAGATACCAGTCCCTGCAAGTTTAGGGTTTAAGGGTTTTGGGACTTAGGGGTCTAAGGGTTTTGGGGTTAGGGGTTATGGCGTTTAGGGTTTGAGGGGTTTGGGGTTTAGGGTTTGAGGGCTTTAGGGTTTAGAGCTTAGGAACCCTGAACCCTAGGGTTCAGCCTTCAGAGAAACACTGAGTCCTGTTGGCCTCAGCCCAAAACACACCAAACTCTTCCAAGACCTCTTGAACGTACAGTGTAGGGACCTAGTTAGAATAGGATTTTGGGTAATCAGAACAAGGTTTTGGGTAAGTAGAATCGGGTTTGGGGGCATTGTCATAGTATCTCTCTACGAAGTATACTCTACAAGGAAGCTGCCATGTTGGCTTCTTCTTGTTGTGTCTCTCTTGCTCGTTCTCTTGCTTGGACACACTACAGCTCCGTGTAGGAATGGGGGGCCGCCCAGAACCAAAACTGCAAACAGCAAGCAGGGGCTTAGTGAGCCATCAACTTGGCATGATAACTTAGTCCAGTAGAAGCACATTTACATATACATATACATATACATATATGTATATGAAAATAGATGCGTATATATATATATGTGTGTGTATGTGTGTACATGTACGTCCTGTTCATCAGCTTTCAGCAGAAACTAAAAAAAAAACATCCGTTCAGCCCTAGCACCTGGTGCACGGCTTGTCGCCGGGACGTAGTATCCACCAGCATCATCAACTCCTCGGGAAATGCTTGGTCGAGATGTGGGTAGTTCTCTACATTAAGATCCCTTTTTAGGTCCCCAAAATAATACGGGTCCCCCGTTTTCGATAAAAAAAAAAAAAGACCCCGACCCTAATTAATTAAGAGAACTACCCACGCAGGTATGGCTGTTGATCTGGCATCTCATCTCCGGTCTAGGGAAACTAGGGCTCGGACTTTAGGACCGCATTTAAATTCCCAAATGACCCGACTCAAAGCCCCGAATCCCTACTTGGCCCCGTAAGCTCCGAATCCCATTTATCAATGACTGCGGGCCCTCCACAATATTAGGGCTTTGATAAAAAGCTTGGGGTCATACTACAGTATGACCATGGCGGAACTATAAGAGAACAGTATTACCGAATATTCAGGCCCCGATAGGAACCCAGCCCAAGTCTCGGTGAGCTGAGGTAGCGCCCGCACAAGTCCTGGCTGGGCGCCCTCCTCTGAAGCCGACGATGCCAGGGAAGCCACGGAATCCGATGCAACCGAAGATGCTCCAACCGGCGCCCGTTGAGAGGTCTTCTGGGCCTTTGGGCATTTCTTCAGAATTTACTACATATACTATAATCTTGAATAATCTACGATGCTTCCCAGAATCCGAAAGCCAGCAACAATCTACGTGGCAGCACTACTGTACTTACAAAACTGTTGGATTAAGAAAGTGAGAGTCTGGAGTCTGTTGAGGGCCCACTGCCACAGCGCCGCACGAGTTACAACCATGATACAACAATTAGAAGAAACTCGAGAACTAGAGTGTCCGCCGCGGGGCCGCCGCGGAATCGGCCTGTTATGGGGCCTGGAGGCCTGCTTTCAGATGGATTGGGCCGGACCAACGACAAGAAGAACACAACACATTCTGGCTTGCCTATCGCTAAGGCTGAAACGAAGGGAGCAATTGAACACCCCTTTCTGCATGTCCGATTTGGGATTGCTGAAGCAAAGCGAAATAAGGGCTGGGACTGGGAAAAGCATCCCAGATTCCGGTTCTCTTTTTAGGAGGAGAAGGTCGTGCCAGGGTCTTGTTTTCTCTTCTTCAGGTTGCGTCGAAACCAAGTACGGAAAAAGATAGAAATTCCGGAAGGGCAAGATTGCAGATGCTCTATACGGCTCAATGGGTCTTCACCACCGAGCCGGTTTACCCCCCAGGTCGGAACCAGACTACGCTGACTCGTCTGATGCCCTGACGACATCCGCGGCATCAGAACATGCTAAATTCTAATCCTATCCCTAAGCCTGAAATTCTACTAAGTCCGAAATTACACACCCTCAACCTTTTCTGTATTGTGCAGTAGCTTTATTCGAGGCGCTTTTCACCCTCGAAGTCCAGGCCTGAGAAGCCCTGAAACCCGAAAGTTGAACGGTTCACATAGGGCCCGAAGAATGATTATGAATAATATTATAACAAGCACTATTTTCACTGCTATTACAAATATTAATACTACTACTACTACTACTACTACCATTATTATTGCTATGATTGCACACTTCAGGGTCTTTGATGATTAGAAAATGGGCTTCGGGTGATATTCTCCTATACTTATAATAAGGACTTCAAGGAAACAGTATTACTGTACTAGGGTTCCCCAATATACCGAAGATATCCAAAGATAACAAAGACCCGAAGACCAGACCGAGAAGTACCATAACAAAGCATTGCCGGCTTCAATCGAAACAGCATGGTTTACTCCTGAAGCCCTTACTCTCGAATAGAAGTACAGTATCATATCCCCCAAACCATATTCTAACTGGTAAGGCCTCTTTTAATATCAGGGCTGCTAAAACACATCTTCTGGAGAGCAAAGCAGCTGGAGGCGAAGTGTGGGGAATGAGCAGGCGCGGGATGTCGGAAGGACGTGCATCAGGGATAGTTTCAAGCTCGACGTCCTGCCTGCGCAGTCAGCAAACAAGTCCCCTCTAAAGCCTCATAGCAAGAAGCCCCCCGTCCCCGCATACATAAAATCCACTTCGACAGAAGAAGCTTGCCTCATGGCCAGAAGGTGATAGGTATCCCCAGAGCCGTAGAGGTTTGCAAGAGGGACGTGGAAAAGATCCACACCCACGCTGTTTTGGGCGCTACCTGCAACGTGTCCAAAGAGCACTGTCTGGCTCGCTTAGAATTAGGGTGTATACATGTTTCTTCGGTGCAAAGATCTGAAGGAATGAGAATGTTTGGTCCATCGCCTTGCAGGGAGACCCGCAGACAGGGTGGAGTGCCAGCTGTGTCCTCCCCAACATTTGAGGAGGTGATGAACTCATGGAAGCGTTGATGCTCCTCATTCCATGCACTAGAGATTCAGGGCTTGGGTCAAAATAATAATAACAATAGCAATAACAATAATAATAATGCAAATAATACTACAGAAAGGACTGTTGTGGCGTG